CCCCCCCCCCCCCCCCCCCCCCCCCCCCCCCCCCCCCCCCCACAGACGTGACAGACACCTTAGCAACGCTCCTCCCCTCCCGATTACAGACTGTCATAGATACCTTATCACAGACGTGACAGACACCTTAGCAACGCCCCCTCCATTACAGACTGTCATAGATACGGGTGTGGGTATCGGTGTGGGTGTAGGGTGTGGGTGTGGGTGTAGGGTGTGGGTGTGGGTGTGGGGGTGGGGGTGGGGGTGGGGGTGGGTGTGGTTGTGGGGGTGGATGTGGGTGTGAGTGTGAGTGTCGGTTTGAGTGTGGGTATCGATGTGAGTGTGGGTGTGCACTTCTGTCGGCCCACTCACCAGAACACCCACATACACCCACACCCCACACCCACACCCACCCACACCCACACCCACCCACACCCACACCCACACCCACACCCACACCCACACCCACACCCACACCCTCAAGGCATGCAAAACTTGCGCTTCAAAATCCTCGAGTTCTTTCGATTCGAAATCAAGCATTCTGAGTGTCTGTGCGAAATAATGAGAGGCGTATTCGAGAAGGATGAAGAGAGAATAAAGATCACCGTGTTCTGTTTCAAAGCGTCACGGACAACTTGTGCTTCGAGATGTCCGATTATATTCCGAATGACATTAAGTGCTCTTAGTGTCTATGTGACAAAATGGAAATCTCTATACAAAATGGATGAAGATAGAATAAGGCTCATGCTGTCCTGTAAAGCAGCACCGATATGCTGATCCCGAGATTTCTGATTTGATTCTGAGAGAGATTCAGTTCTATCAACGTCTGTATGAAAAAGTGAAGATCTATATTCGAGATGGATGAAGAAAAAATGAGAATCATTGTGTTACGATGTAAAGTAGCACCGATATGTTGTGCTCCGAGATCTCCGATTCCATTCCGACTGACATTAAGGGTTCTCAGCGTCTGTGTGAAAACGTGGAAGTCCGTATTCAAAATGGATGAAGATAGAATACGGCTCACTTTGTTATACTGTAAAGCGGCACCCAAATGTTGTATCCAAAGATCTCCGATTCGATTCTCAGAGATATCGAGTCCTATGACTGTCTGTGAGAAACAGTGAAGATGCATTTTCGAGATGAAGGAACAGAAAGTGCGCCCCACCCAGTGAAAAATATTCACTGATTTTAATCGGATTTTTCTGCAACAAAATCAAAATTAAAATCGATTGATAATTTTGATTATCGTTGATCATGAATTAACTATTACTTGATATTGTTACTTATCCAGTGTGAAATTTTCTGATTAAAATCGGATTATTCTGCTGCAAAATCAAGATTATAAATCGATTAATAATTTCGATTTTGTTGCAAAATAATCCAATTTTAATCAGAAATTCTCACACTGGATAAGTAACAATATCAAGTAATAGTTAATTCATAATCAACGATAATTGAAATTATTAACCGATTTTAATTTTGATTTTGTTGCAGAAAAATCCGATTAAAATCAGTAAATATTTTTCACTGGGCACCATGTCATGTTGTAAAGGTTTGTCGATATGTTCTACTGCGGGGTGTGGGTGT